CGTGTAGTCTTGCAGAATTTTACCGACGTTTCAGAGGTACTTGCTGCCTCCACTATCAGAAGCCTCATCGCCCTGATAATGCAGGCACCAAGGACCTCTGAAACGATGGTACTGTATACGTAGCACACACTGATGATCTATCTTGGCCTTCTATATTATATATTCCTTATTTACATCACACAAACACAGGCGAAATATCTGACGAAGTAGAAAACCTAGTTCCCAATAAGCCGACAACTTTAATAAATTATTTACGAAATTCTGAACTCCACATAAAATAACTAATAATTTTATTAGTAAAAATACAACAATTATGTCAGATCGCTTTTTTTTTGCATTATATTACTGATTTACTGACTACAGAATCATAAACAGCTACATCACGTAAACAGCTATTGTGTGAAGTTCCGTGTCTGGAGTCAAAAGGAATACAGGGTTTTAACCCCACATTTTCGAACTCCGTCTAAAGTTCGCTTTAAACTTTATCGCGAAGTAAGTGCTGGTCGAAATCTATCCATGACGTCATACGCTCAGAAAACATGTGCGCGCTTATATTTGTGTGTATGTAACGCCACCTGTTATCAGAAAATAAAACAACTTTACATCCTCTGCAGAAATAGGCCAATCACGTGGGACGTCATAACTTATCGCAAGCAACGCTTGCATCGTCACTAAGCAGTTCTTACAAGTACCTACGTCCGTAAATTTGAGACACCTTTCCAAATTAAATCAGATAAAAGAGATTTTTTAAATACAAAATCTTTACGTGACAGCGTGGACCATTCATGTGTCATGTTTTATCAATTCGAAAATCATCAATATTGCCAAAATTTCAGATGGCAGCACAAACAGCCAGTTCCTACAACTTTGTGTGATAATGGGTTCTTGATAATGCCACAGTCTTCCTTATGACTTGATGAGAAATCAGATTTGCCTTCAGTAACAATACCACTCACAGTAGATATTGAAGGAAAATACCAGTTTACAAATTATGTATCTAGTCTGTAGCATGAACCGTATTAATAATAACCTAGACATCAGCTTAAACGGCTTTTGAAGGAAAATGGATGTGTAATTTGATATAGTTCCATTTTCATTTATATAGCTGGTCTTAACAAATACATTTATAAAGCTGTTCATAATATAAAAAAATAATATTTTACATTATTTTACTTCCTAAGACTTTTAAATTTTGCGTACTAGACATCTGATAGACAAGAATCTATTTAGAAAAAAAATGGTCCTCGCCTATTCCTATAACACACCCAAATTTACCGGCCTTCCTCCCAGTCATTTAGGAATTTACGGTCGTATATAAAAGAGCTCAGACACTGGAAAAGCACAGTGGGAAAACATTAAAACGAATATGCCCGAATGGAGATGAACACGGCAGTAGAGGCTAGTGGACGTTACGCCTGCAATATATTGTTTAGACCACCCGCGCATTTGACCTGTCGGAGAAGTTGCCTGTATTCACGGCAGTTCCATAAAATGCATTATTCAGAAGCTGGAACACAGGAATAAGAGTTATTTTCAAAAGGGGGCACTGTAATCCAGTGCAATAAGCAATCCAGCACCGCAAATACCACGAACAGCAGTTTCACAAGAGTATGTGCTTCCCTTTTCAGTATTCCTGGGTGCTTAAAATAAGCTTCACTAAGCAGATACACGTACGAGGTTTCCACAATGGTGAGAATGTGAATTGTGACACCGTGTAGTATAGTAAAAGGTTACCACTGTTTTAAAGGAACTTTTTATCTTGAAGACGGAGGTCATAAGTTCCTCCAGACACCAATTAAGTTTATAGTGATGTGCTACATAATGAAATAAAACAATTTTAACTTCCCCGAGAGCATTCTTTTCTTTCCGTCATAATTTATTATTATTCTCTGAGCGGGTGAACTCACATGGGGTTCCCCTTCTCGGTGCAAGGTCTCCTCGTGGTCCAGGAGCACCTCCACGGCTTCCACGAATTCCTCCGATATGGCGTGCAGCAGAGCGTCCTTCGTCTCCACCTTGTGCTCGATGAGGAGCTCCACCATCTCCAGGTTCTCGTTGTCGATGGCCATGAGGAGCGCCGACCGGCCCAGCGGGTCGACGCAGTTGATGTTGATGTACTCCGTGTCCTGGGCGCGCTGCAGCATCCTGCAAGGACAATTAGAATAACAGCCTGATTAGGACCTGAGGTCCTCATGGCGGCGGCGAGCATCAATTTGACTTGTCTTCTGCTACGTTGCGACGTACAGTCTCGTAGAAGTCCACCGACGCTTCAGAGGTACACGCTGCCTCTATCATCAGGGCGAAAGTTATGAAATGTCCGCTGGTGATTACTGAAGAGGTGAGGTAAGTAACGCTGTACTTTTAATATGAAAAACATTGTTTATGATGTCTGTTAAAAATTTGACTACACATGTTTTGAAACATTATTAGGCCAAGTTGATTATACATTTCCAACTGAGGCAATAGGAAGGCAAATCATGTATTCAGTAATTGTTGATATTGCCCCCACTAATTAAGAAGACATACAAGAATCTATAATAAAGTACAATTATAAAATCGGACATTCCAAAAGCAGCGAGCTTATTACAGTTTCATGAATCCTCATTACAACATGGACAATGATACAACTTACTGTACCAACTTTTTAGTTCAGGGGTAACCAAAGAAACTCTGACGCCCCAATATAAACATTCAAAGTCAAGGACGTAACAGTTTCTTCACTAAAGAGAACACGAAGTCTCGCCTACTTTCTTCAATCTGCTCCATATTGAGAGATTCTTAGTATATTTAACGACGCTTTATTAACTACACAGATCAATCTAATCGGATGACGATTGTGAACGGTGTGGAAGAAGAGGTGAGAGCCCAATTTTAAGCTCTCTTCAAGAATTTCACCAAGAGACTGAGGAAAATCTGTGAAGGAAGTACTTCACAGGGTCAGAAATCAGTTTCACTGAAAACTGTTTCAAATTAATTATGTCGATTTTGATCAAATCTGTAGGCCGCTAACTGTCGTGTACAAATTTATTCGAACGACGAATACTTGAAAGAGCATAAATCTCCACATTCAGTTCGGAATGTTTTAACGCACCCAAAACAATATTTTACCTGTATTTTCTCAAGTTGAGAGATAAATTACTCGAGGAAAATCTGAAAACGTCTACATTAAAATATAGTGCTTCCATTACTACAGCTTTCCCTCATAAACTAAGAACATTAGAAAAATTTACCTCACGGAAATTACAAACATCTAAGGAGAACTAAGGTAAACATAAAAAACACAACATTTATCTGTGGACTTTGAACCATTTCCTGTGCAAACAGAACTTAAGGCATATTTATGACTCCGTGATGCACATGGATGCGATCCCAACAAAATCAGGAACAGCAGACAAGAGCAATGCGAAGAGGGTAGGCTTAAAAAAATCGAAACATTTCACGTGAAAGACATAGTTAAGTTGCTGTCCGGTTGGAATGGACGGTCCTTGAAATTATTTAGGTTATTTCAGGCTAGCCACAATAATCTGTGCGTGTCTGAGAACGCAAACCGAAAACTGGTTTAATGATTATAACTCTCTCCTCCTCGGTTCGATTACCAACTGCAGGAAATTCGAGGTTCTCACGGTGGACAGTTCTGTATTCTGCGTTATAGCGATTCCATCGTAAGGAATCTTTTATCGCCCTGATGATGGAAGCAGAAAGTACTTCTGTAACGTCGGTAAATTTATACCAGAGTACACGGCACTACAACCCAGAAGATAGCCAACTTAATAATACAGGTTGTGTCTTTGTCTGACAGGAAGGCTGATTATCCCACGATAAATTCTACCCCTACTGGAGCATCAACCATCAACACACATATGCTACCCTTACAATAAAATTTAGTCTACTACTTACAGCAGGTGCGTATGCGAGATTCAATGTCAGTTGCCTGACTGCTATCGTCACATATTTATATGGGGCTGGCGTTATGGATGCTGAAACTGTTCACCACCCGACAATCACCAACACGACTCATTTCCCGCTGTTAACTCTGGAGCCTCACAGCTGTCATTAAACGTTCATGCTTTGGAAAACGTCCAAGACGATGCTTTATTTCACTTGCACGCTTTGGACGCCAGACTTTGGAATTAGAAGGTTTTAATAAATTATATATCAACCACTAAAACAATAACCAAAGCGTGTCTGCACTTTCACAAATAAATGTTCAGTATTTTGTGCAAATTCTATTAACCTTACGGACAAAAATCTTCACACGCAGAGTAGAGAGTAAGGAGATTCCTTCCATAATTATCTTTAGAATAAAGATTTTATACATCAAATTCAAGAGACTTAGCCTTCATTTTAATCAAATTGCATAAAAGAGATGTCAACTCGTTTACTGCAAGCGATGAATAGTGTGTCAGCAAGTGTTTGTGCTGCATAACAGGAAGGGGCATGCGACTCTCGTAGGGCACATGAGAAATTTACATAACATTTCGGGCGGGAGGGGAACAGATCACTTGAGAGATTGGACACAGGGGACTGTGGGCGTGTGGACTGGGTTCATATGGCGAGGACAGGGTGCAGTGGCGGGTTTCTGTGAACAAGGCAATGGACCTATTGGTCTAACTGAAAGCCAAGCAATTCCTTGACTAGCTAAACAAAAATTACCTTTTGAAGAAAGGACTCTATTGAATGAAGTTAGTTACATGTTCTGCATGAGAACAATGTGTATTTAACGAGACTGCATATCCACTGGCCAACTCTTGAACGTTGAGTGGGAAATCAGCCATCAGACGAAAATTTCTGGTCGCTACTGACGACCAGGCGACCATAATTTTCAATCCCTGGCCAAGTATTCTGGAACGCAGCGATAGATGAGGGTAGGTAATTGACTTCACACTGCGATAACTTTATACAAAAAGCAAGGGATTTTGATACCCAAGGGCACACGGCTGGGTGGACCCCAGAGTCGATCTGGACATGGCGTCCAAAAATAAAAACCTGGTCCCAAGTTCTGAGGTACTCAGTATATTGGCTGAGCTGCTGAATTATTTTGAACCATGATGATAAGAAATAAAGAAAGGCACGTGGTGAAAGACGGAATGATTTAACTCCATAAAAAGCGTTACTAAGCGACCACAAAATTCTGTGTACTAGATAGATACATTGGCGCCCTCAGAGCTTGGGTATTCGTGAACAGATTCACGAACGAAGACGGTGATTTTAAAATTCGCTGGGTGACATGGGTTCGAATTATACGTCAGCCAAAAATGAACACGCCACTGGTCAGACCTGTTGATGTCTCCCGTCAGCAAACATCACAGCTCGCTTCGCGTGCACCAACATACGGACTGTTACAGAGGGAAGTTTGCTGACTTGCAGTCATTTCGGACGTTTGTGATTTCCGGGCGTGTGATTTATGATTAGATGTGTGGGTTTCACCTTACACACTTGTCTGGAGTAGCCTGCATTCGTTATAGGGACGTCGACGGACACGAAACTTGGCCGAATTAGACGCAGTTTGAAGGCACCACTTAGGATTATTTTCATAGTTCAAATATTTGAGAATGACAATCACAAATTAAAATCAGACCTACATTAATTACAAATTAAGAGAATACTAAACTGGGAGAATCTGCCTTCCCGTCTGTTAATAAAAAAACGCAAACCATAATTTTGTACTTGTTTTGCACGGTGTCAAATGCAGTCACCTCTTTTTAGCAAAGAAAATAGACTGAGAGTGATTGATAACGGGGTGCGGAGGAAAATATTACGACTAACGAGGCGGAAGTAGCTGGAGGACAGAGAACATTGCACAATGAGGAGCTTCATACTTCGTACCGATCACTAAATATTATTAGGATTATCAAATGTATGAGGATGTTATGGGTGGATCATGTGGGAAGATGAGAAGTGTTTTAAGGAATTTTAGTAGCAACCCGAATAGAAAAGACTATTTGGAAGACGTAATCGTCGATGGGAGGATAATATTAAAATATATCTTATAGGAGTAAGATATAAGGGCGTAAATATTATTCAACTTACTATCTCTACGAAAGGGCAACATGTCTCCAACACAGAGATCAATGGGTGTTGTTTATGGAAATAATCGCCACTTATTCTACGAAACCCATAAATATATCATATGTGAGCAAAATACAGAGTTATACTGCGTTCCAGCGTTTTTGGCTACTGAACTATGTGAATTTGAACCTCGGAGCGAGTCACCAGAAGTTTGCTGGAACGGCCATAATCGGTGTATCCAGTTTACTGCATGTTAGAGCAAGTGGTACTTATATTGGCGGAAGATCTCGTGGTTTCAATAAAGCCCCTGGGGAAAATACTGGGATGGCACCGAGAAATAAACCAGGACCGCGTCTTTCCAAATCCATCCCAACTCATCGTTCGCAAGAACCCTTACTTTCGACGTCATATAGGGGCTTTACATAACCCAAGGCATCTCTAGTACGATTTCTTGACCGTCACTTCGTATGCATGTCTTTTAGTATGCTATCCCTCTAATAATAATCGGCGATTGTACAATTTTGGTCAGTAGCATGGACGCAAATCCATGTTTCATTAATCTTCTTTGCGTAGTTAGAGGCTTTTGTCAGGCTGATCCCCTTCCAAGGGGCCCTACCAAATGTCTAGGGATCCACCGCCTCAGGTACAAATGTCTGATTTGGAAGATGCTGAGGGGCGTAATTCATGATAACTAAAGAAGAAACAGAAAGGACATACGAGGTGTGAAGACCCGCTCCTTTTCTTAAAAAAAGGTACTTACAAGTGCAATTAAAACTTCCAGTGCACGCGTGTTTCACGTAATGAAATAGCGACCTAGAACTGACTTAATGAAGCACACGAAGTGTCTAATTTGTCCAAACTACTTGCCAACAAAGAGGTACAGTAAATTGTTTCGGAGATGAAAGCACAGAAGAACAGAAACTAGGCTAAGGGCACAGCTGAAGTGAAGTGACTTTCCTTTCACACGGAAAATCACTCTTTCACCTTTTGTTAAGGGTCTTTTTGTTAAGACATTGACAGTGCCAGGGTCTTAAGTGCCTCGGACAGAAAGATTTTGCTGCAACGCCATCAGTCCGCCCTTTGAAACACGTGGCCTTAGCCTCACCCTGGCCCTCCTTACGCCACATTGTGATATTTCAGGTTCTCACAGCGGCGAGTACGAACATAACTGTCTTCTGGGATGTTGCACCATGCAGTCTGGCAGAAGCTGCCCCGATGATGGAGGCAGCAGCAATCTCTTAAACGTTGGTAAATTTCTCTACCAGGCTACACAGAGCAACAACTCAGAGGACAGCCATCTTCATACTCGCAGCCGTGAGAACCTCAAATTCAACAACTTAACAGAAGTTTCAGAGGAGCTTACTGCCTCCATCATCAGCGCCATGATCGCCCTGATGGTAGAGGACTTTTACTCAAATTTGTCGGCGTATATCATATTTGGTCGAAATCGGGCAAAAATAACGCACACTTTACGTGAAGACCTGAGTGGGCGGAGAATTCCCGGCCACTCACAAAGTCAACAGCATCTGAGAAATGCGGAAGAATTGTTACGCAATGCATACATTTCCTGGCTTGTTTGATGTAAGCCAGAGAAAGCAGATTTAATATTGCAATGTTTTTATTCTTAGACGGAAGTCGTTTAAGCGAGGAAAATGAAGTACAGAAATGAAGAACCAGATTCAAGGATCTAATTACTGAGGAACGAACTCGTAGGAACATTTGGGAGCAATGGCTTCAAAAGAAACGGAATTGGACGTTAGACTTTCGACAGGATGTGCAGATGAAAAGGGATACAGAAGGAAGACATCCAAAAGCTTTGGGGGAACTTGTACGAGTTACGTAAACAAGTCGACTTCTCGCGAATTGGCGAAAAGAATGAAGGACAATAGACATTTGCTCTGTCAATATTTACCCACGCGTTTCAGATTAACGAGAAGCCCAGTGCTTGCGTACTAATTAATTTGTAATTCTCATGAACGTCCCTTTCGATTTGAAGAGCTAGACTAATTAGGATCACACCGCCCTCTCTCTCACACACTCACGCTATTGGATTTGCGATGCCACCGAAGAATACAGAAGTTTCTAATATTTACATCTTCTGGAGTACGTGGTCGAACGGTTAACACTCCTACTTCGTATTCGGGGGTTCCAGCTATCCTCACTCGGGGTTTTCGTGGTATACCTCAGTCCCTCCAGGGAAATTACAGAATAGGACCTAAAATAAGCCACGACCGCTTCCTTTCACATCTTTTTCAATTCATTATAAATAATGAAAGCAAAGTAATTGGTTTTCGCCTTTCATTATTTCTAACCTGAATTTTAAGGTAGCAGGTTCCTACGCAGTATCACAACACAAACGACCACTTCTAGCCTTTTGGTTCACAGACCTATGTCTGCCCGAGAACGTGAGATGAAGTTCAAGGGTGGCAAATATTGCTCTCCCTTGACGAGCCATGAACGGCAATATTAGCATATAAATAACGTGACAATGTTTTTTTTTGCGCCCACACTCGTACTTTGCGTCGTATGCACTGCACAGCACCTACCTGCAGACAACAGACAAAGGCTCCGCCCTACGTGGCTATACTGCATTCACATCTCTAGAATGGTACCCAAAAAGCGTTCAAGGAAACGGGCTCTGCTAGCGACCTTAACGTCATTCTAACTACTTTGCTCCATAGTGCAGGTCTTCTTTGAAAAACTTATAGTTACTCAACAGGCCAAGACACCCCCTGATATCGCATAATAAAGCCAATAAACCCCGCCCTGAGTCAGATGAATAAAACCCTCATTCATAGAGCCTGTTTATCAGTGAACAATTTTAATATTATCCTCCGATTTTGGCCAAATCTTCAAAAACTAAATGTCAACGGCCTCTAAAATTAAATATGCAGATGAAGGAAGATCAAGACGAGGCATAGGAAGAAGTAGAAATAGAAGTACGTGAGAAGATTAATGTAACTTCTTAACTTCAGAACGGTCTCCGCAGCGCCAAATCTTACTGGAGAAAAAAAAAAAGATAAAACTTTACGTTTAATTAAATTTAATAAAAACCTCTTTGTAACGTCAATTACAATTTTCTTGGTTGACTTGCCCCTGTTTCTCATAGAAATATCAAGATTCTTTCTTCCAAAACTTTCACTCCATATCACACGGAATTTCATCAATAAAATTTCTTAGCTCCTCGCCTCACTTGTTATTCATCTTATTCCGTTACGGTATAATGCTCCTCCGTTGTTTCATTCTCCCTGTCCCCTCTGCCCCTTCCACATCCCACACACTCATTATTTTTACTTTCAACAAACGAAAGGACGTGGCATCACACAACTAACCCATTATCTACAGCTGTGGCGATGCCTTGTGATCAGGCCCGCAGATACAGAGCAAATCTCGAAGGCCGACGGATTTCAAAAATAGCAAATGAATATAAACCGAGAGGAAGAATTAAAGCTGGGAGACCCAGAAAGAGATGGTCTCTGATGCGAGCCGTAACAGGCTATTTAGCCCATCCCATTAAACTGATGATGATTACAGATCACTTATGAAAAGAACAAGAAACCGAATTACTGACTTTGCGTGGTAAAAGCGAGAAGAGCTCTCATTGGTACTTCAGACACGCAGCGCCTGCATGTAGGCAGCCCGACACACGCAATCACCGCTACGAGACGGCTGACATTTGTTCACGTCTGGGTGTTGGAGAAGAATAGAGAAGATCAGGTGGACGGATCGAGTGACCAACGAAGAAGTATTGAGGAGAGTCAACGAGCAAAGAAGCATTCTGCAGGCGATTACACGAAGGAAAGCTAACTGGCTGGGACATGTTATGAGAAGGAATGGATTAATGAGTGATATCATCGAAGGCCAGGTTGAAGGAAAGAGAGGACTAGGAAGAAGACTGATACAGCTAACCGACGACCTTAAACAAGGAAAGAAGATGACGTTCCAGGAATTAAAGCGAGAAGCCGAAAATAGGGACAACTGGAGAGCTCTTTTTGGGCAGAGCAATGGACCTGTCGTAAGACAGAACACTTAATAATAATAGTGCAGATAACGACATTCGGTTCAGTGGAAGATAAATAATTCGGACACTGTTAAAATCTGACGTAATGAGGCTGGTGCGGGGAACCCAACTACCGAAATAAAAGTTTTTGTCGAAAGCCTACGGAAAAGCAGTGCAGCAGGAAAGGGTGAACGACACGCAGGGTATACAAGGAGGAGGTCGACAATCTGCAACAAACTCGAAGTAAAGAGTCCGGAAATAATTAAAGCTTCTTGAAGAATAAATATCGTCCGTATTCAGTATTTACATCTTGTAACCTGTTTTATAATGACAAGACTGGGAAGATGTAATGCAACTGAGTGAAATGCTTTACAAACGCGTTATTTTATATTCTGCTTACGCCATCGCGCGTTTGTATCCATTTGCTGTGGACATAAATTTATTTATCACTACAGATGTACTGCATACGATCAGAAATTATTTTACTTCACATTCGTCTTAATGAGATCATTACTTGAAGTTACTTACCAAACTGCTAGCAGGACACGGATATTCTTAAGAAAGGTTCAGTGCAAAGCAAGAAAGAGTTAACCATAAATCGATGCGGGTCCGATTTAAATTCGCCAGACACATTTTTGTGTAAACGCCGAGTTAACAAGTTGTGGCCATACTGAAGGCCAATACATCGTCTGCTGTGATCAAAAATCGCTATCAAGGCAATGGAATTAAACGTTATTATATTTTAAAGATTCGACTCGGCTACCATCAGGAGCGTTACCGCTATGCCAATCTGCTCGATGTAGCGTACAGAAGTCCAGTCTCGGCGAAGAAAATGCCTGCGCTGTTTAATTTTACAGCGTACTCAATGTTTCAGTAGCAGAATGAAGCAGATGTTCGCAAGACGTGTTACCTACGCTCCAAAACACGCGTAATAACATGTTAATGAACGCGTGGCTAACACGTGACGTAACTGGTCTCTATAAAACGTACAGGAATCAGCCCGCTTTCTTCTCATCCACGTTTTAACATTATGCAATCTCGCTGAACATAATCACTCCCACACAAATTCTGTGATACCAGGATCATCATATTAATAACAAACACAATCGCCTGGCAGAACTTAATTCATAAACGGAAAGACAGGCATTTTGCAAATGTTCTGATTGATTTGAGAGACGCAGAACACACACATGGCCTATTTAAATGTAGTCTAAAAACCTCGTGGAAAGAGACCAATTGGAAGATGTGTGAGTAGATGCGATAATGATAATAATAATAAAACGAAATTTAAATGCACAAGGTGAAATGATGAAGACGCAACATACAAACAGACAGACATGGACGGGGGTCGTAAGATGTTCCTCGCTCACGGTAAAGCGGAAAGAACACCTACAAAGGAAATCAACTGCAAACCGTATCTACCTGTACTGCACTTGTTGCTATGACAACGCACATAATGTGTTGATTAGAACTAGTTCACTGGTAAATTTAGTGAATCAGAGCTAATTGCCCTCAGCCGGATACAAACAGACTTCGCAGCATACATGGAGCCTTAATAATTGTTTCAATATCACATGTAATTGATGACGCATTCTTTTCAATGGCGTGTCAGCAATGGCACACTTCGATATGTAACTCACTTCATGGAGTACAATGTTTATTAAGAAGCTGACAGTCGCTCCGCAACTCAAGAAATTTCCCACCTTTAATGGAATCAGCAACTTCAGTCCCGTCTTCACAAAAGACTGTTACGGGCACTATGTATCCTCATAATCACTTTTCGAAGATCCATTTTAATATTATATTTCCATACGCGCCTAGGTCACCCAAATGGTCTCTGACGACCAAAATGTCTGGTCGTTGTTCTGTGTCAGGAAGTGCCATAATGGAACTTACCGCCTCGTGGAAGCAACGTCACCACGCTCGACCGCAAGGAGGAATTTCTTTTCGTCCAGCGACAGTTGTGCCATCTCTTGATGAGGACGGATAACGTTCTCCTCCTCCATCATTCCGTGGATGCTATGCCTCTGTGAAGAGCAAAGTAACAATTATAACTAACAGTATCAACAATAACCAAGGACATTAAACACCAGAGGTTTTGCAGTCCACACCTTCCTTTGAAGTCTGATTTTAAATCACTACTGACAATAATTAACACTAACCTTCGGACAGAATAGAAATCAACAGAGAAAAGCAGCTACCACGCTCTATTGGTGTGTTGCCATAGTAACAGCTTATAACAACTGGTACACTCTGTTGTTCTGTGGCTATACTAACAGCACAGCCTACGTGGCACGCGTATCGTAACCATTGGCTGTTTACATGAGCATCTGCGCATTTATCGCAGAAATTTTAAAATTATAATTCCCGAAACGTCACACATACCAAATATACCTGAGATAGTGGACAATGTCCAAAATAATTGCAATATAATGTTAATATAATTACAGATTTTGTCAGATATGATCGGCGTTTGCTGTAAGTTCAGAATACGTCATAGACCCACACTAAACACTCGAAACTGCTCCATCCGTCATTCTGTTTGTATGCACGAGACAATTCGAGAACAAATTTTCATGAAATTTGGTACGGACCAGCGTTACTAAAAATCTTTCGACACATTTAATTTTTTGGTTAAAATGCGACAACAATAATGGGCATTTTTCGTGAAAAGCAGCTTGCTTTTCTGCGCAAAGGTCAACACTTTGACAGACACGTCGGAATTGTTATGCCAACAGCACATTTCATAACTTTCCCTCACTAACAAGTATTAAAACAAGTGATTTGGTCACAGAAAGTCGAAACAGAATTTTATGGAAAGACAGCATGGAGGGCCACATTCTGAAGAGTCCACTTTAAAAATTCGTTTCTGATTAGACACATTTAAATCTGATTAATTTAGATATTCTCTTATCTCCCATGCTCCTTCACATCCTCTGCATCCTGTTTCTTTATCTAGAAAGTGAGAAGCAAGGCATTCCCCGAGGAAGGTTAGCTCAGCTCTGAAACTGTCCTCAGAAACTAGGTCATAATACCGAGAAGAATTTTCTACAGGAATTAATTATCAAAACAGAAAATAATGTTCATTACTTGCCGTCCTAATTTTGCACATGACAATAAAAATCTTGTCTGAACTCACTTCTCGATTGATATGCTAACGCCTGTCTATTGCTAGTACGAAAATTGATAATGAGTTCAGACCTCTAATAGTCAAGGAAATGTCTGGATGACACTTGAAAAAATAATCTTCAAGTGAGCCGATATATAATTTTGTATCCCGACTAAGAGACACGAATGACCCTCATGAGTGCCACAAATGTGGACAGCGACACCCCCCCCCTTTCAAATTTAATCTTGACGGACTCGCGAGTTTTGAATTTTTATATAAACAGACAAGAGAATTTTCGTTTTAGGTAACGTATGCGCCTGCGCTAACAGACAAATCACACGTGAAAAAGACGAGTCTCCCCGAAATATACTCGTACGTATAAATGAAAATTTCCGCGTACAAAATTTTTTTCCCGCTAACTGAACGATATATAGGAGTAGCAACAGTGGGAATGCTTTCTGAGTAGTGTTTTATTTTTCTTAGTCATTTTATAAATATAAAAAAACGAGACAGTTATCCCATTGCATTATTAGCCAATAGTAAAGTCGAACAAAACTGAACGTACTCGAATATTATTATCAGAAGATCAGCCTTTCCTCAATAAAACATCTTATTTCTGCTCAGTGCACAAATATGTCACAGTCCTTCATAGGCTACCTATGAATGTTGAAACACACGGTACTCCTGACTGACAACTTTAAGCACCATAGAAAATCAAGTTGATTGAGGTGCAGACGGGAAGCGCACTAAAGAAAAATCCCGTGAACAATGAAGGATGCATTCATCCTTTTGGAATAAATCGATACTACAGACTATCGAGATGCGCAGGGAAGTCCTATGGCTGACATGACTCCCAGACGTAATGTAAGAAATCAAAGTGTACCACGGCGTCTGTCAATTTAAATGTTAAAAAAATGAAAACACAGAAGACAGAAGAAACAATTTTATTTGAGGTTTGCTTAACGACGCTGACAAGAACTCAGACTATACAGCGTCGAATGATTAGGACAATTAATGAATAATTAATTGGACAGGATATGGAAGGAAGAGTCGTAGCCTAACGTAAGGACGTATTATTATTATTATTTAGTGTTCTGTCTGACGACAGGTCCATATGAACAGGATCCTTCCATCCTTTTCTCGGACTGGGACCTGTTCATATACGTTCTTGGCAGATTATCCAGAAGTGGTTTGCCATTGCCTTCTTCTGTGTGTGAATGGAGTAATTGTTGGGATGCCACGGAGAAACCGGGGAAGCTCCCGGAGGAAAACTCCGTATTGCCTAGACCACGGCCTTGCCCAACACAAGTTATAAATTCGGGCACCGCCGGGAATCGAACCCGAGACCCCAGGATTACAAGGCCAGCGTTCTAACCGCTAGACCACCGTGGCGGAATTTAATTGGGAGGGACTGAGAAAATAAATAAACTGCCATATAAACAAGTAAACATAAGTAAATACACAAAATTAAAATAAATAATGAGAAAGAAATATATTAATCAACTAATACATAACTTGTGACCTATATGTTTATTTGTACGTTAATGTTTATGAAATAGTTATATGGCTTATAGCAACTGTTCACGGACAGAATATTATTTAGTAGAAGATACAGTGTAGGTAGCTCTAGCCCACATACAAAGATCTTCAGTTATCTCTCGACATTAATATATTTTAAAAAATAGGAATCACGTGGTGAAAGAAGCAGAGATTGAAACGATTTCTACTAGATTACAGAACAGTCGGCCCGCGAAACTGACATCTGGATTAAATTTAATTGGCAAGAGAACAATTCTATTGACTGATTCGTGAGCATGTGACCGAATAGCACTCCCGGATTACGGACGACTTCAGAAATAATAAAAAGTCAATCCGATCAGGCATCACAGAATCTATTTCATTCGGTTTCCAATGAACGGCAAAGCAAAGATCACGACATATTATAGTAGTGGGTCGACATGTTTTATTCAATATAAAAATTTAATACAACACCCAGAACTTGCTAAAACATGGATAAATACACCAAGATCAATAAAACTGACAGAACACTTGTTGTCTTCCACGACGCCAACATTCAAGCTGTGCCAAAACAGCTCAACTGCCTCGTAACATTATTCATATTGTTTAGATAAATGAATGGATGAATCACTTCTTGGAACGTAACATTCTATATTCTAATTTAGTTGTTATCCTTCCAATACACTTCTTGGAACGTAACATTCTATATTTTAATTTAGCTGTTATCCTTCCAATCGTGAAGCTGTATTTAAAAATACATTTTCCACGTCACAGAAAACACAAAGCGTAGCTATTACAATACTTCGCCCGTGTAGGAAAATAATCATGGCTTATTCTAAGAATCGTACGAATTCCATAAACGCACAATGACCATACTGGTACATATCAACCAAATGCTTTAAAGAGTAAAATGAATTTTAGAATATTCTCCACAAGCCC